CACACACACACACACACACACACACACACACACACACACACACACACACACACACACACGTTATTCATCAAAGAACAGATGATTGGATGGAATCCCAACCTGTGAGTTGCTTTCCCCTCTCTTTTCCCATCACCTCACCCTCAACGCTCTGTGTGCCTCTTACATCTCCCTTCGCCAAACACAAACTCGAACATCCAAGCAGACTCGAAGTGAAACACATTCCCTCCTTGGATTCCTCTCCCTGTGTGTGTGTGTGTGTGTGTGTGTGTGTGCGTGTGTGTGTGTGTGTGTGTGTGTGTGTGTGTGTGTGTAAAGTGTGTGTCACATGAGTCATGCGTGAGGACGACACGTCATACTCGCGCTGCTCCGACCAGCAACGTTGGCACACTGTGAGCAAGGTGCAAGTCGCGGAGGTGATTCAACGCAGCAGGGTAAAACCATATTGTGTGTCCATTTGTGGTGAGGGTACTTACTTAAAGGGCCGTAAAGTCGAAAGCAGCCAAATATGTGAAACCAGTAAGGCAAAGTGAGGGGGTTGGGTGGCGCCTCCTCTTTTTCTCAGACAGACCAGAACACACGCAATAACACCCCACAAACAAACGGAGGGATGGGGGGAAGGCATAGGACAATGAGGCAAAGGGCAGGGAACCAACACCATAGGATGACAAACCACAACACGGCACATGAACTTAGAGGCACGAGAGGAGGAACAAACAGCGAGGCAGCACATAGGCTGAAACGCATGGGGGAGGCACATAAACTTAGAGGCATGAGAGGAGGAACGAACAGTGAAACGCATGGGGGAGGCGGGAGGGCACAAGACAAGTATAAAAAAACAGCAAAGCGGCCAGAAGAATAGAAAACAGCAAAGGACAGGCTGGAAGGTAGAGGGGAGGAGGGTGGGCAGACAAACAGCACAAGGCAAAAAGCAAAGACCGAAAAAAATAAATTAAAAGCTGATGATGAAAGATTGTTTCGTCGGAGTGGCACCGACTCATCAGGAGGCTGAACCCTCGACAATCTGCGGAATCTCCGTATTTGATGGTTTGGGTCATGAACCCTTTGACCCTTGTTGAAGGCAGACTGTACCCAAGCGGAACATAGCAGCGGGCAGCAACCCTGTGGAGCACCAGGCAACACAGTAGAGGCAACACGGCTGCACAACGCCAAAAACGACTGCAAGGAACGACATGGCAGGCAGGGCATGCAGCGCGTCAACCGTGTAGTGAAGCACAGGACAACACAAGCAAGGCAACAGCACTGCAGGGGACAACAGGGCGAGCGGGCCAGCATCTCAGCAACCGTGGAGCGGAGCACAAGGCACCAGCAACAAGGCAACCAACCCACAAGGCACATAAGCGGCAAACACGGAAGGCACGGCCAGCGGATGAGCAGCACGGCAGCGGAGCAGCGAAGCGCAAGGCAACACCAACAACACGGCCACACCGCACAGCGAACACATCAACCTGCAAAGAAACATGCGAAGCAAGCGGGACAGGCAGCAGGGCAGCGGCGGAGCGCAGACGAGGACATCCACACATCCAACACGGAGCAAAGCAGCACATGACCTACTCACATGACAGTTGAACCCCGCAGACTGTTGGTTCCCACCACCCACTGACTGAGCCAAGGAGTCACTCCAACGAACATCCGTCATCACCGACAGGCAACACAGACATCCCAAACCGAGCGGCCCCCATAAGAGTGCAGTAGGCACTCCAAACAAGGAACCACCGACTGTTTGGCACTACTTAATGGTGCTCAGTTGGGCATACAAAACAATACAGAAAAAAATCAAGGGGAGGACATACAACAGAAGAGACTGACAGACATAAAACTGATTGTGTGTGTGTGTGTATGTGTGTGTGTGTGTGTGTGTGTGTGTGTGTGTGTGTGTGNGAGAGAGAGAGAGAGAGAGAGAGAGAGAGAGAGAGAGAGAGAGAGAGAGAGAGAGAGAGAGAGAAGGGCAGAGAGGGACACCAATTTTATTTAACTTTTGTGTTGTGCAATCAGACTCGCTTTCTTTTCCACTTCGCATACATGCAAACAGATAGTAATTCACACAGGCGCCCACTCAAAGCTCAGAGATATGGAAACAGCAAACACAGTTCAGATGCAATCTCGCTTCAATAGGCTATGGCGCGTAAGCACCGATACATCCCAACTCGCATCACTGTGTCCAACCCCACTGTTCGCACACACTTCAACTCTGGATCTCCCTGAATACCCCACACACCCACTCTGCATCACACACACATACACACTAACAGCTATCTCTAACCTATTTGCGGCTATGGCCGCTCGCCACTACTACTATGACTACTCTTTCTTCTTCCAGCCCACTTCGACTTCAGGCGCTCTGCAGACCACCTCGCACAAGACGCTGGGGCTGCGCTTCCGCATGGCTTACGCAGCGAGTGAATGAATGGCTGGGCGCTGCCTCTTGATTTATACTTTTGTAACTCGTTGGTCTGCCCCCTGTACACCAGGCCCATGGTGCACACAGTCCCTCATGACTGTGCAAAGTGAGACTGGGACTGGGTACCGCTGATTAAGCGAAGTTGGACTCACCACTTGCCTCTTGTCTGCTGTGAGTAACGTGAGAAAAAACTCGAAAGGCCACTTCCGGACCTTCCGGAAGTCTGTGGACTTGGCCTTTCGGGACTGTAGCGGCTACGACCTTGACCTTTCAGGACTGTAGCAGCTACGACCTTGACCGTTCAGAATTGCTACAGCTACGGCCTCTACACAACTATGACCCCTAGTCAACAGATCTACAGATCGAACCCCTACAGCTACACATGCAATGGCTTGCTGGTTCCAGGTTGCCCGTAGCCTCTCTCAGACGAGGCTGTACCATAGGTAGGGACAGATTTGTAATTTGGTTTGGCTG